GGCTTGTGTGGTATTCCCCCTGAATCCAAATTCCTTTCTTTGATTGTAAAAGGAGCAGTTAAATATCTGGTATTTTGATCCTTCAAGCAATTCTGACTATTTAAAACAGCATAATTTAAATATGCATATCTTTTAATATACAAAAGATAATGATGTCTTTCATAATTTGGAATAGCTGAGTTAAATAATATCCAACTGATTAAACATAAAATAAACTTTGATCTAACAAATAATTCATTTTCACTACATTAGAATTATTAAGATGATCTATATCAGTGTTTTTCAAACTTGGCAACTGGCTGGGGAATTCTGGGAATTGAAGTCCACACATCTTAAAATTGCCAAGTTTGAAAAACACTAATATCGATCTTGCCTCTATGCAAATTGCAGGGGGCTTAGTTTTAGGAATGGATGTGAATCTTCTGATTCTCCAATCTCCACATTGGAGAATGGCTTGAGGATTCCATAGCACCCTGGGGAAGTCTCCTACTTCTCCTCCTCCTTCCTCAGGTCCTCTTGTTTTGCCCCCCCCTCTCTCTCACCACAATAAATACAAACTGAAACAATCTATTATATACATGCTTTTAATAATAATGGCAGTCAGTTGAGTAAGATTAGCATTTATGTCCATAAAATACCTTATGCAGTCTTAAGGTCCCTATTAATAACAGTTATTTGTGGAATCTCTTATGATCTTCATTTCTCAAGCAAATTCAAAGTTATCCATTGAGATAATTTTACTAGTCCATTCCAATGTCACTGCTTCTGAATAGTTCTTCTGATTCTTCCTCTTCTACAGAAATAGGCATCTTCACTTGCACAATCCTTGCTTAGAACTTTGAAAACAACATTGCACACTGCAGTTGTACAAACTGTTTCATGGCATTAGGAATAAAAACAATCCAATGTATCTTTAAACACAAAATTCAAGCCGCCTGAGTGTTAGTTTTCCGTGACAATTTCCACAAAAGTTTTAGTTTTCCATGACAATTTCCACACACACACACACACACAAAGTGAATTCCTAGTGAAAACTCAAAGCGCAGTTTTGTGTTTATTTTTATACATTTGGTTAGTAAATTTGCTATATTTTAAACTACTTCTTCAATACAGCAAATTACGCAAAAGAACCACTGCAAAACTCAAGTAACCATAAATCAATGCAAAAGTTTCTCCCAAGTTGTTTCCAGTCTACTGCAAAGGCATGGATTAAAATCACAGGACTATTGTTCTAATTTGTAACTGAAAGTGGTGTCATAAATCATAGTTTCTCAGCAAGATCACATCAGTATATGTTTACTATTTCTGTTGCTTTGCTTACAGCCAAATATTCTGGGAAGTTCCAAAATATAGCATCTCCATTGGGGGCTCCATGTTTCAAGCCCCAGTGCAGAATGGGGTTTGGGCTTAGACCAGTAAGTCCTAAATTCACATCCCATCATCCACAGAACGTTCAGCCTCACCTATCTTACAGAGTTGTTGTTGTTATGGTGATAAAATTAGGAAAGACCTTCATATATGTTGGTGTGAACTCTCATAAGAAAGGTGTGATATAAATGCAATACATTAATAATTACATAAACTTAAATACTGTAGCTCCTTATTCTGCTTTAAATTTGCTGACTGATATGAAAACCAAAGTAAACCATCAGGGTCATTAAATATTAAATTCTGGGTATTCAGAAATGCCACTAGCATAGAATGGTCTGATTCAAGGATGTAGCTCTTTATAAGCCACTTTTATTGCAAGAATTACAAAGTCATTTACAAAGAAATCCAGGAACCGCAGAGTATAAGATAAGATCAAAGCTCAAGTTTTAAAACTCTTTCACCTTTTGGGCTGGTCTTTCATATGAGGTACTTCTGTGCTACTATAGAATTCTTTTTACGTGATACCTTGGGACTGTCTTGGAGGACTTTCTGAAGGAAGGTATCTGTTTTAAAAATTAACATATTAAATGGGAGTAGTTTTCTATTCCCTAAAAACAATCATGATATTGTTGAGTTCCATCTTTCCAAACTGTGGTCCAGGAACCACTGGTAGTCCCTGAGGGTACTATAAGTTGACTTTGTACAGGTGCCAAAATAAAAAGGGGTTATTTAAAAAAAATGAGCAGAAAGTGAGGAAATCATCCAGTCTCACAAGATTCTGGAATTCTTCCCCCAAAAATCTCACAAGAATTCAACCAGAACTAGCAACTGCATGAGATTATAGACATTAAAAATATTAAATGTCATTTAATTATGGTAACCTGTGGAAACCTGAGGAGGACTACCTGATTCAGTTCCTAGCTTATATGGTATCTATTAATTTGTTTCAATTTCAGTGCTGCCCAACTCCAAACCAATTCTGGGCAGCTCATAATATAATAAGCAATAAAAACATGGTACAAAACAAAACATAATGGGGATTTGGTCACTTGATACGAAAACATAGAAACACATCCAACAAGGGACTCCATCCAGCTTAATCCAAGGCCTCAGAAAGAAACAGATCTTCAGAGCCTTACAGAATGCCAATGGTGTGAGAGCCTCACAGATTTCAGAGGGGATCTCATTCCAGAGGGCAGGGATCACAACAGAGAGGGCATGTTTCCTAGATCCCAATAGATGGCACTGTTTGTACTGGCCTGGCAAGAGTTACAGGAGATAGGCAGACCCTCAAATCACCTGGCCCTATACCATGTAGGGCTTTATAGATGACACTTTACAGACACCTTGAATCACACCAGGAAGCATACTCACAGCCAGTGCAGCTCATGAAGCAGAGGTGTCACATGGGCATGCTGGCCCATGCTCATCACTGCCCATGCTGCTGCATTCTGGACCAGTTAAAGCTCCCAAGTGATTTTCAAGGCCAGCCCCATGTAAAGCACATTGCTATAGTTGAGCCATGAGGTGACTAAGGCATACATCACTGCCTGAAGGGCCTCCCAATCCAGGAAGGGGCACAACTGGTGCACCAGATAGAGTTGTGCAATGGCCCTCTTGGCCACAGCTACCTGCTTTTCAAGCAGGAGCTGTGAGTCCAAGAGGACCACCAGATCTTGAATGAGGAAGTACTATTATTTGATTTCTATGAAATAAAACGCTAACATTTGTTTTTGTTGTTGTTCAATCGTTAAGTCGTGTCCAACTCTTCGTGACCCCATGAACCATATTGCGCCAGGCCTTCCTGTCCTTCACTGCCTCCCTTAGTTTTCTCAGTCTCATGCTCATTGCTTCAGGGATGCTATCTAACCATCTCATCCTCTGCCGTCCTCTTCTCCTTTTGCCTTCAATCTTTCCCATCAAGACTCCTCTCTTCGCATTAGGTGACCAAAGTATCTGAGCTTGAGCTTCATTATCAGTCCTTCCAATGAGCAATCAGGGTTGATTTCCTTTAAGATTGACTGGTTTGACCTCCTAGCAGTCCAGGGGACTCTTAAGAGTCTTCTCCAGCACCACAGTTCAAAGGCATCAATTCTTCAACATTTGTTTTTCCAGTTAGCTAATTAGTACTTAAAGTGGCTAAATAGATTTTAATCATTTCCATTTAATAAGAAGAAGATCTACAAGACAATAAGCACAAACAAGTACTAACTGGCAAGACAAGAGAACAAGTTACAACATTCTGATGTAAGAACTGATTCAAGCACAGAACTAAGCCAATCATGCAGAATCTCCAGCCCTTAAATCTGAACCAGACCAACTGGCTCACAGGGATCTCAAGTAAAACCTTGCCCCTTCCCCAAACCCTCTTCTCTTCTACAAGAGGCTGAGTTGAACTTGCAGGTGTGATTTTTCTTTGGTTTCCTGTGCTCTTATAGAAAGATACACAGTGGTGAAAAACACATTTATAGGTGCTCCAGATGGAAGGCCTGCAGGTGTGGCCCTTCTTCGGACAGTCATCTTTCACCATTGGGAAAAGCCCAAAGTAACAGAACTAAATGACAAAACTGGAGACAGAATATCGAGTTTATATTTTGTTCTTCAACAGTGCCCTGGGAGACTTTCCTGAGTTTTCCTCTGTGCCATAGAAGAATGATCAAAGCTACATTAAGGACACTGTTAATCATTCAATGTAGATAGCTGCACCTACAGTAGGTGGGGATAGCTTGGGCCTCCTATTTTCAAAGTCTAAATTTATTTGTAAGTTTGCAAATGTGGAAAAATCATTTCAGTGTACTCTACAGACATATATAATTTTCTATGGTCATCTCTTCCCTAATATAAATGCTGAATACAATTTTCATTAAAAAAAAATAGTCTGCATTGTTGCATAGAAGATTTTAAATAAGGTTATTGTGCTGAATGCAAAATGTCTACACTTTAGGCAATCACGTGGTTCTACTTATTATCCTTTCTGCATGATCTCTATATGTAAACTGTAAATGTTTATATTTAGGGTAAGTTTGGTATTCTGTTAGACTATAATTAGTCACATGAGATGAGCATGCTAGTTGTAAATTTGGAAGACTTACAGTATAGAAACATTTAAAACACCCATAAGAATTTTTTAAAAAGAAACTTCATATAGTAATTGGAAAGGCAAGCAAACATGTACATATCTCTGCATGCATGCTTCCTTATAGAATGTTTTCTTTCCAAAATTTGTCATGATACACATAGCCTTTCTATAATCAAAGCGCCTAAGAGTGAAGAAATCCTTCTTAATATGTGCCATCTTTTAAAAAAACTCTCCAACACATTTTCTCCTGTGTTGAAAGTTCTGCATGCCAAATGTTATAGCCAAGTTATAGAGATCTAGAAAACAGGATTTATAGTAGAAGTCAATCACCAGACCTATGTTAAAGTCGTCTTTTGCATCATTAAAGTCTGGTCCTAGATTTTCAGAGATAAAAACACAGGATTTCACATTAGTTTGTGTGGAGAGAAACCAAAAAAAAATAACATAATCCAGATCAATTAGTTTATATTATAAAACTTTACCTGAAGGTTAAATAATGCTGTTGGCCCAAATTAATCTATTTTCAAAAGTGGAGTCAAGTTTGCCAAAACACACCACTAGCCATCACTTCTCCAAAATCACTATTCCAAGAAAACTGTATGTTTTAAATTAAATACTGATGCAGCTATAAATACTGGCTTCGGTTTTTAAAAGTCTTGAGAATGCTGCAATGGTTGCAAGGTTGAGGCACCATTTCACTGTTTGCTCTACAGTACAGAGATTCCAAAGAGTCCATGGTCACGGTGGTAAAAACATTTGTATGAACACAGTAATGACCTGACAGGTAAAAGCTGCAAGTTTTTGCTTGTCTTCATTCGCTTCTAAAAAGAAAGAGAAAAAAAATGTGACATCTAGGTTACAGAATTTTAAATCTCTGTTTGTACATTGTAGTTTATTATGAAAAGGTCCCTTTTTTAATCCCTCTCATACCATAAACACTTCCAACCTTCACATTTTCTGATAAAATGATATAAATACATACAATAAAACAGGCAACAATATTACCCCTTTCATCAATAACTATTAGCAACCATTTGCG